CACATCATACCATACACATCATACACATACACATCATACACACACATCATACCATACACATCATACACACACATCATACCATACACATCATACACTCCTGTCCCAGCCGGTTCTGATTGCCAACTCGATCACTCCATCTTACACATGTTACACCACTGCCCAAGCCCCTTCTAATCGCCAACTGAGTCTCTATCTTACACATTGTACACTACTCCCCCACTCCTCTTCACCTACTGCGTCTCTCCGCCGACTGCGTCTCTCTGCCGACTGCGTCTCTCTGCCGACTGCGTCTCTCTGCCGACTGCACCTCTCCGCCGACTGCATCTGTCTCACACACCCTCCCCATCAACACCCAACCTCGCCAACGTCTCATCCCGCCCCAGAATCAGCATCATATCATAAACCCGCATCCCCGTCTCCTGCCCGCTCAGCGCCAGCCTGAGGTAGTGATACACCTCGCTCCCGCCCTTCTTGCCCTGCGGCCTCGCATCGATAATCTCCCTCACCTTGTGCACCAGCGCGTCGCGCTCCCACTTCTCCGCAGGGACACTGGCGAGCGCGCGCGCCCCCTCCACCACGTCCGCGGGCGTGTCGGGCGTGAGTTTACGCGTCGTGCAGGGACGCAGCGGGGCGAGCAGGAAGGCGTTGCGGTATAGGAATTCGTTTGCGTTTGTGTAGTTTTCTGCGTCGGCGAGCACGAGCTTCTCCATGTAAGGCGCTGGGTCTGCGCCGGCGAGGGAGCGCCACTGCGACGCTGGGTATGGGCTTTCTGCGCTCGTGAGCGTGTTGACGAGCGTGCTGACCATGTCTTGGAGGCCTGGTCCGCCGGTTTGCGCGCGCTGGTGCGCGTGCTTGCGCTGCAGGAAGTGCAGCTTTCCAAACGTCACGGTTGTGTTGCCCTTTGTGAATTTCAGACTAAAGGATGACGCGAGCTGGGCGAGCGTCATGACGTCCGTCTTCTCGCGGTGGCTCCACCCCAGCAGCGCGGCGAAGTTGGTCAGCGTCTCCGGCAGGATGTGCATGTCCTGGAACGCGGCCATGTCCGTGTCGAAGTTGCGCTTCGACAGCTTGTTGCCCGCCTCGTCGACGAGCAGGCCCACGTGCGCGAACAACGGCGGCGTCCACCCAAACGCAGTGTACAGCGCCATGTGCTTGGGCGTGCTGGGCATCCACTCGCTGCCGCGGATCACGTGCGTGATGCGCATGAGGTGGTCGTCGACGACGTTGGCGAGGTGGTACGTCGGCAGGCCGTCGCTCTTGAGCAGGATCGGGTCTTCGAACGAGGCCTCTGCGACGTGCCCGCGCCGCCTGAGCGGCCGGAACGTGCCGTACACCAGGTCCTTGTACGCGGGGTACTGGTCGGGGACGCGGAGGCGGACGACGTGCGGCTCGCGTCTGTGGGCGCGCTCGTCGGACTCGGCTTGCGGCATCGATTCGCAGGTGCGGTCGTAGTCGGTGGCGAGCCCGAGCTTGTGCTTGTGCTCGGCGAGCGCGTGCAGCCGCTCGGCGGAGCAGAAGCAGCGGTATGCGTGCCCGGAGTCTAGGAGCTGCTGCGCGTGCTCGCGGTAGATGGCGCTGCGTTCCGACTGCTTGTAGGGCCCGTATGGCCCGCCTACCTCCGGCCCTTCGTCCCACTGCAGGCCGGCCCATCGCAGGTCCTTGAGCAGGCGCTCTTCGGCGTCTGCTACCGTTCGTTTCTGGTCCGTATCTTCTATGCGCAGGAGGAACTGGCCGCCCGTGCTCTTGGCGAGGAGGTAGTTGAACAGCGCTGTCCGCAGGGATCCCAGGTGGAGGTATCCGGTCGGCGAGGGCGCGAATCGCGTGCGCGCCGGTGTCGATGGGAGCGTCGCATTGCTCTTCTGTTCCTTTGCTGTCCGTTCCTTTGCTGTCTGTTCCTTTGCTGTCTGTTCCTTTGCTGTCTGTTCCTTTGCTATATGTTCCTTTGCTAGATGTTCCTTTGCTGTCCGTTCCTTTGCTATCTGTTCCTTTGCTATCTTCGACGATATTGTGCGTCTCGGCGATGACGATATCCGGACGAGGCAAGAGCGGCAGATGTGCGCCGGCACTTGGGGCCGCAATGGCAGGGAAAACGACATGACGAGTGCAAGATTGAATGAAACATGGCAGCGCCCGTGGCTCGTTCAACTTTCCGAGGCAGAATGCAGCGCGCCGCCACCAATCAGCGCGCCAGGGATTCTGGCCTTCACCGCCTGCCGCCGCGGCCAAAGTTGCCGCCCAGACTTCTCGCCAGCATCTGATCCGGGGAAGTTTGCTCGACTTTTCTGCATTGCGTTGCGCGCCGCCGCTGTTTGTTTTGTACATTCCACACATCCGTGATAGCCAAACTCCGATCATTCTTCCAGACCACCCAAGAGTGCGTTCCCTGACATGGGCACATGCCGCAGACTAACAGCCTTCAGTGAACGACGTCGAAGAGGTCGATCTCTATGGTGCGAGGAGCGCGGATCACACCCCACGGAGCAGCACTGACGGCACGCAGAGGTCCTCGGCATCAGTAACAGCGCCAGCAAAGTAGAGATCAAAAAGGCGTACCACAAGGTCCGTCTGACCTAGGCATCCGTTACCCCGCCATGCTGATGCCAGCGCAGGCAGCACTCGCACACCACCCCGACAAGGTCGCCGTCGAAGAGCGCGAAGAGGCTGAGATCCGCTTCAAGTCGGCCAAGCAAGCCTACGAGATCCTGTCCGACGATGATAAGCGCCACCTCTACGACACCCACGGCATGGCCGCCTTCGACCCGGCCCGCGGCGGCGGCGAGCAGCCCGATATGGACGACATCCTCGCCCAGATGTTCGGCGGCATGGGAGGTATGCCCGGCATGGGTGGCATGGGTGGCATGGGCGGTATGCCCGGTGGTCCGGGGCGAAACGTGCCCCGCAAGGGACGCAACGTGGAGCAGGAGTACGAGGTCACGCTCGAGGAGCTGTACAAGGGCAAGACGACCAAGTTCTCCAGCACCAAGAACGTTGTCTGCAGTCAGTGCGAGGGCTCAGGCGGAAAGAAGGGGTCCAAGAGCCACGACTGCTCAGTCTGCAACGGCCGCGGTATGTGTGCTTGCTGTGTTTTTTGTTCCAAGTCTCCCGCTAATACAGCCCAGGCGCAAAGCAGGTCCTCCGCCAGGTCGGCCCCGGCCTCGTCACCCAGGAAACAGTCGTCTGCTCCACCTGCCAGGGCTCCGGACAGATCATCCCCGAGAAGCAGCGCTGCAAGAAATGCAAGGGCAAGAAGGTCGTCGAGTCCAAGAACGTGCTCGAACTCTACATCCCCCGCGGCGCACGACAGGGCGAACGCATCGTCCTGCAGGGCGAAGCCGACCAGCTACCCGACCAGGAGCCCGGCGACATCATCTTCACCCTCGAGGAAGCCGAGCACGAGACGTTTGAGCGCGCGGGCGCTGATCTGCGTGCCATTCTCAAGATCTCCCTCGCCGAGGCCCTGACAGGCCTCAACAGGGTGGTTCTGACACATTTGGACGGCAGGGGCATCCAGCTCAACGTCCAGCAACCGAACGGCAAGGTCCTGCGCCCAGGCCAGGTCCTGAAGGTCCCTGGTGAGGGTATGCCCATGAAGCGCAGCGATGCAATGGGTGACCTGTATCTGCAAGTCGACATCGAGTTCCCCGAGGACGGGTGGCTCAAGGACGACGCTGCGCTGGACAAGGTCAAGGCGGCGCTGCCAGCAGCAAAGCCGTTAGACGCGAAGCACGAGGAAGTCGAAGAGGTCGACATTGAATACGAGGCCGACATGGACGACTTCGGCGCTGGTTCCGGCGACCCACGTGCTGGCGGCGCTGAGTGGGAGGACGAAGAGCAAGAGCAGGGCGGCCCCCAGTGTGCCACACAGTAGGCTGCATGCGGAACAGCAGCTTTTGTAACAGGCTATCGAAACGACAAGTTTGAGGGGACATGACATTGTGAGCGGGACACGACTTGCATGGTTCGGCGTTGGTGGTGGCTGTCCTTTTTCCACGGACATGCATGATACAGTACGGTCTGAGGCTTAGATCTAGTCATGAGTTATTTGCGCAGGACTTGCGTACGTGCATCCAGGTTTTGTGGCGCGACTATTACTATAGTGCCACACACAATCATGATGGCTACATTGGTGCCGCGGGCAGGTGCCGTATACGTAAGTACGTTTCCAGAACGAAAGTAGCTAGTCAAATCTCATCTCGAGGTTCTTTTGTCTCTTGCAAGGTTCTCGAAGTACTATAGGTGCAGAGGCTACATCAGATATTGACCTCAACGACGCTTTGCTGAACAGGACATTGCTCCTCCAAATAGCGCTGTCCTTTGAAAAAGGTTGCTTTAATCAGTGTCTCTCCTTGTCCTGGTGGAAGTTCTTTAGCGAACAATGTCTGACGCTTTGTTGGTCAACTCTGCGATCCCCTTTGTTGTTGGGCATGAGGTTCAATGGCCCTCTAGACCGCAACAACACGACTTATACACTCGAGGGAAGAGATCAGTATCGAGCAGCTTTGGAACCTTTTACGACCAGCTTTGGAACCTTTTACGACCAGAACACCTCTACCTATACATACTATGCCGCAAACGCCGCCGCCCTTTACGGCCATCAGGACTTATTTCGACGGGGATGCGGGACCCTGAATTGCAGAGAACCGACACCAGACACGGGCGCCATACCTCCAATTGCACATCTTACGCATCGAGATCCAGCGGTGACCCTCAATGCAAAAGAACGGTTGCTCAGCACGCCAACCATGAGGTGGGGCAGGGAAGCAGATGAAGTAGACTAGGTAGGCAGTGCCTTTTTAAGGGCTAGTGGTTACGGCAGCGCAGCGTTGTGGTGCAACCTCGATCGCAACCGGAACATAACCAAGGTGAATCCCAAAGTCGAACTGTGTCGAGGGCGAAGCTGACTTAGATGCTACAGAGGATGGTCATCAAGGACTGTAGCATGCCTGACTCTTCGTGGAATTCTACAGCATGCTGGCGTGATCGACTGCCCCGAGAAATCGCCTTGCACGGCCAAATCGATAGACAACGACGTCTTGTGAACGATCGAGGTTTTGACAAGCTGATAAGGCATCGCAGCTATTGGTTGATGATGCGCAAACGCAGGTACAGACTGTATCTCGACTGACAGGCTGGCGGCGACTTGCATTGTGCGTTGCAGCGCTACTTCTACGAGTGGCAAGAGAGATTCGATTCCCACAACATCCTTAACATCGATCCAGTGTCGCAGAAGATCCCCGAAATCTTCACCTGGCGCGTCTTTCGTAGGCTCGTAAAGGCGTGCATGACGTTGCAAAGGGGCACTTCCGATCCCACAACCGTCCAGCCCGTTGAAGGCTGGAAACCAATCACCCACCTCGACGTAAGCCTCGCCAACATATTCCTGCGCCCCCACAGAACAGCACTGCATCTGAGACTCGTCTTGTCGGACATGGGCATGGGTTTCTTCCCCCTCCAGTCTCTCGTTGCGGATCCTGGACAAGAACCGTTCCCGGCCGACAACCCGACTGAATACGCCCTCGAGCAACGCGACGCAAGGTACGCACCCGAGCACCAGTTCATGGCCAACAACCGCCCGCCCACACCCATCGGGGAGAAGACAGATGTGTGGAAGATAGCCGCTGTGATCTGGCAGTTGCTGAGTCACGGTCGCGACGGCGATGCACCACTGCGCGAGGACCTCGTGGTCTGGCGTCGCGAAATGCAGAGATACGAATATCACGAGGTCGGTGTTTCCGAGGCGGATTGGGGTCTTTGACATCACGTGCCATACTGCCGCAGCCGCATCGCATGTACCCCGTGACCGAGGGAGACAGTGAGCATCTGAGGTATTTGGTCAGGCGCTGTCTGGATTGGGATTCGGAGCGCAGGATGACCCTCGATGATTTGGATCGAAGCATTGTAGACTTTCTGAATAGACACCCGGGAATTGCTGGGGATGGGTCGGTGCCGGACTTGGAGATTCCGAGGAATGACTTTGTGGTTGGGAATACGTTCGTCGGACCACGTCCCTGACGTGTGGACTAGATTATGGAAGGCATGTTGTAGCACAATTTCGATCGTTCTTTGTTGTCGTTTCACAAGATGCGAAAATGCAGATACAGTCTCTTCCTGAAGTCCTGCGCTGGCGGTGACCTCTATGATGCCCTGGGCCCTACGTTCGGTCGATGGAAAGACACGAATGGGATGCGACCTCAATGCCATGTTGGTAGCCCGCCTGCGCATATAGAGTGGCGTTCGAGAAGGAACAGTCGCAAGCGTTACAGGTACCATACGACCGTCCTAATACTTCGGCAGTGCTCATGACATCTTCGTTTGTGACGCCTTTCAGCAGTATGTTTGTCGCGACAGCTTTGACAATTTATCCACCACCCATCTCTTGTCTTTTGTGATCTGTTAAGTTGTCGAGTGATTTATTGCAGGTTCTGCATCGAGGCAGCGCACCGACGACGGCAGAGCTAGCTTTCATGACCGCAGCCAATTGTGGAGCCACGCTTAGATGATTTGAAGGGCGCTATACACGTGTACTATTGAGCTGGTCGCTGCAGGTTGTGGGAGCGAGGATGTTTGTGGGATTTATGTGGATCCTGTAGCTGTTGTTGTTGATACTGTTGAAAACGAGTGATCTCGGGGTATGTAGAAGACACGGACAGTCAGCTGCTGCAGAAGGAAGGAAGTGTTTTGGGTGCAGCAATAAAATCGGTGATACGTAATAGCGTGGTAAGAGTAAGCGTCCACACCAATGGCCCAATTTTAGACCTTCCATCATGTTTCTCTCTCTCACCTAACGTGCCTGGCAAGCGAGTCGCGCAGGCAAGCGAGTCGCGCACCCTACCAACTTTCTTAACGCTCTACCTTCTAATAATAATGCCACCACGAATAAGTACTCTTTTGCCTCAAAATGAAGCTGATATTCAGCATGCTATCTCAGCTATTAATACTACCTAAATAATGCACGTTAGAGGTGCTGCATCAACGTTTAACGTTCCTGAATCAACGCTGCGCGACCGACGCGCTGGGAAACCTGCCCGACGCGATTGCCAGCCCAACTCAAGGAAGCTTACCCAGCGAGAGGAAGAAGTGATTGTTAGACATATACTCGACCTAGATACACGTGGATTCGCGCCTACGTACGCTGCCGTACGTGATATGGCTGATAAGCTACTTGCTGCGCGCAGCGCTGGCCAGGTTGGGCAGAAGTGGCCAGCCAACTTTGTCAAGCGTACAGACAGTCTCACGACGCATTTCAATCGAGCGTATGATAGGCAGCGAGCTCTATGCGAGGATCCAGCCCTGATCAGGAGCTGGTTTGAGCTTGTAGAGGAGACAAAGGCCAAGTACAGCATCTGCGATGATGACGTCTACAACTTTGACGAGGCTGGCTTTATGATGGGCAAGATCACGACTCAGCTCGTTGTGACAGGATCAGAGAGGAGAGGCAGGCCAAAGGCTCTCCAGCCTGGCGACCGTGAATGGGTGACAGTGATCGCTGCTATTAACGCTGCTGGCTGGTCAGTCCCGCCGTTCCTCATCTTCGCTGGCCAGTATCATCTATCTGCCTGGTATGAGGAAGCAGAGATCCCACGCGACTGGGCGATTGCAGTTAGTGACAACGGCTGGACCAACAACGAGCTAGGAGTAGAGTGGCTAAAGCACTTTAACGCTCATACAAAGACTCGTGTCGTCGGCGCGCGTCGCCTGCTCGTCCTTGACGGCCACGAGAGCCACCACTCTCTTGAGTTTCAAGAGCTCTGTAAGGAGAATAACATCTACACTCTCTGTATGCCGCCTCACTCATCGCACCTGCTGCAGCCACTTGACGTTGGCTGCTTCTCGCCGTTGAAGCGCGCGTACAGCCGCGAGGTTGAGGCTCTGATCCGCCACCGCATCAACCATATCACCAAGCTTGAGTTCCTGCCAGCCTTCAAGGCAGCGTTCAGTCGATCATTTACCTCAGCCAATATCTGCTCAGCCTTTCGAGGCGCAGGCCTTGTACCTCTTCAGCCAGATATTGTTCTATCAAAGCTTGACGTGCAGCTGCGTACGCCTACTCCAGCTGCTCTGCCAGAGGCTCCATGGGAGGCTCGTACGCCGAGTAACGTACGTGAGCTTGAGGCTCAATCAACGTTAATACGTGATCGCGTTCGACGGCATAAGAGCTCATCGCCTGCTTCTATTATTGAAGCGATCAATCAGCTTAAGAAAGGCGCTGAGGTAATGATACTCTCAGCTGAGCTGATGCGCGGTCAGATTGCTAGCCTTGAGAAGGCTAATGAGGCAGCGTCAGCGCGCAAACAGCGTAAGAAAAAGCGTATACAGTACCATGGGGTCTTAACAAAGGGAGCTGGAGAGGATCTACTCGCTCAACGTGAGGCTGATCAGCAGATTGCTCGTGAAGAGCGTCAAGGAGGAGAGCAATCAGGCCGTAGCCGCCAGGCTCTCGCGCGCTGCAAGAGGTGCAGAGAGACTGGCCATAACTCACGTACGTGTAAAAAGGATACCTAGAGTACTGCTTAATTTACTCTATAATTATCTATAACGTAGATTATCACCGAGCCAGCCATATCACCAAACCGGCCACTTTCTCTTGGCACGACCACCTTTTACCCCAACACAACATGCCTTAACAACAACAACTTCAGAATACTACTAGAGAAGGCAGAGTTATCCTTGCTATCTAGGCCTTCTATGCTAGCCAATTTCGCAGTATCCACAGCGCTGCTAGAGCGTTGAACGTACCTTATCAGCAGGTCTCTAATTGCCTTCGCAATATCACGTTTTAACTAGACATACGCGCTAATTGCTAGAAACTTACTATACTAGAGGAGCAGACAATTATCTAGTATATACTTAACCTTAATTCGCGAGGATTTGCGCCCTAGCTATGTGAGGTGGCAGATATAGCTAATAAGATACTTAGTGTGCGTGGTGAAGAGCCTGTTAGCAAACTATAGGCTAGCAGGCTTGTGATGCGTTTAGACAAGCTTAAAATAGCCTTTAATTAAGCTAAGGATAGATAGAGGATACTACAGGAAGATCCTAAGATAATTAGCGCGTAGTTTAAGCTAGTAGAGGATACTTAAGTTAAGTATAGCGTTTGCAATAACAATATGCACAACTTTAATAAAACTAGGTTCTAGATAGGCGTTGCTTTGTCTTTAAAGGTTGTAACAGGCTTAGAGAGACGTGCTTAGCCAGAGCTTGTTCAGCCAGGTGATCGCGAGTGGGTTACCGTTATCTAGAGCATCTGTGCCGCTGGGTATGCAACCCCGCCTTTCATCATCTACAAAGGACGTGTCTACATCTCTGCCTAGTATAAGGAGATAGATATACCCTACAATTAGAAGCTCTTAGTCTCTAAGAATAGTTAGACAAATAACATGCTTAGCCTTAAGTAGTTAAAGCACTTTAACACGCATACAAAGACGCGTTAGGTAGGAGTATATAGGCTGCTTATCTTAGACAGCTATAAGAGCCACCTTAACTAGGAGTTTAAGGACTATTGCCTAGAGAACTAAATCCTTACTCTCTACATGCTACCTTACTTATTACACATCCTCTAGCTACTTAACGTGGTCTATTTCTTGCTATTAAAGTGTAAGTACTCCTAACATGTTTAAGACTTAGCATGCTAATATATCTTCTATATTAATAAGGAAGGCTTCCTACTAGCCTTTAGGGATGTGTTCCTTAATATATTTACAAAGGTTAAATACTAAAAGGCCTTTAAGGTATTAGGGCTTGTTCCTACTAACACGTAGGTAGTGTTAGATTACCTTAAAGTGCAGCTGCATACCCTACTAGCAGTACCTCTACCTAAAACACTGTAGCAATCTAAGACGCTAAGCAATACACACAAGTTTAGGTCTTAATCTAAGCTTATAAGCAACTCCTTCTAATAATTACTAAGTATAGCATAAGAGGGGTTCTTAAAGCTTATAAAAGGGGCTAAAGAGATGCTGCACAAAAACGTCCTTATTAAGGCCCGCATGCAAGAGCTTAAAGAGCAATTAGCAGTAATAACTAAGAGAAAATCGCGTAAGAGAAAGCAGATTTAGCATAGTGGCACACTTAAGTATGGCCCAGCAGCATTGCAGGTAGCTGCTAAGGCGTGTGTAGCAGCTCAGCCATCTAAGAAGACTTAGGGTAGAGGTGGTCAACTAGGAGCTTAGTTAACTGTTTAGCGCTATAGGAACTGCAGCAAAACTAGACACAACGCACGAACGTGCTAGGAGGGTGCAGAAACATCTTCTAAATCTAATGCAAGCACGCAGTATACTAGGTTACTGTTTAATAGCAAGTAGTTGTAGTTGCAGTAACTTGTGTTAGTCGTGCTAAGAGAAAATGGCTGGTTTGGTGATATGGCCGGCTCGGTGATAATCTACGTTAACGTAGTTCACAAGCGAGCGGTCCAACCCAAGCGAGCGGTCCATCCCAACCATGATAGCCTAATAACTACTTTGCATTATAATGCCATCCTAACACAACATGCAATTAACCTATACTAAAGGGACCTTACAGCTTACTATCTAAGCTATAATTAAAGATTGTAATAAGAGCAAAAGACGTGCTATTGCAGCCTTTAGCATACCTTAAACTACTGTCTGCTAATAATGCTAAGGAGCCCTCTCTTAACACAATTGCGAGCCTAATTTAAAGAAGCTAAGTAAACTAGAGGAGGAGGCCCTTTTACAACGTATACTTGAGCTTGACACAAGAGGAATACCTGCTACAAAGGCTATGGTGCGAGATATGGCCAATGATCTGCTTGCTGAGCGCGGTGGAGAGCCTGTTGGCAAGCACTAGGTAGACAACTTCAAGACGCGTACGCCTGAGATCAAGCTTTGAAGGAGCTGTCCATATAATCGCCAGCGAGCCCTTAACAAAGATGCACACGTTATAATGCCCTAGTTTAAGCAAGTTACCAACATAAAGGCTAAGTACAGCATCACAGACAAAGACATGTACAACTTTAACAAGACAGGCTTTATAATAGGGGTTATCTATAGCTAGATAGTCTTTACAGGCTCTAAGAAGCGTAGCACAAAGAGCCTATAGCTAGGGAACTGTAGTTAGGTTACTAATATATAAGGAGTTAACACTAAAGGATAGGCTATCCTACCCTTCCTTATCTTCCCTAGTAAGGTCCTTATTACCTTATAGTTTTATAATCTACCTTAGGATTAGGTAATTAAGGTTAGTCCTAATAGCTAGACAATAAATAAGCTTAGTATTGCCTAGCTAAAGCACTTTAATACCTATATAAAAGACTAGAAGGTGGGTGCACACAGGCTGCTAATTGTGGACGGCTATAAGAGCCACAGCTTATATAAATTCCACAAACACTGTAAGGAAGAGAAGATTATTGTTCTCTGTATGCCTGCTTACTTGTTGCACCTGCTGTAGCCACTTAATATAGGTTGCTTTTTGCCTTTAAAGCAGGCATATAGTAATAAGATTAGTGGCTTAGCATAGTACAGCTCTAAGTAGATTAAGAAGGAGGCTTTCCTACCAGCCTTTAAAGCAGCTTTTAAGAGGTTAATTACAAAGGAGAACATCTATGTAGGCTTTAGGGGCGCTAGACTAGTTCTACACAACCTAGAGGTGGTGATATTAAAGCTTAATATAGTCCTTTGTACGCTAACTCTACTAAAGCTAGAGGACACCCTATAGGAATTAAAAACTCTAAGCAACCTCTATAAGATAGAGGCTTAGTTAACACTAGTTTATGAGCGTGTATAACTGCACAGAGATTCCCCAGTTTCTCCTCTGCTTAGAGCAGTTAAGCAGCTAAACAAGGGCATTGCACGGATAGGGCATGATAGCGTGTTAATGCAACAGGAAATAGCAGGGCTTTGCAAGGCAGTAGAGATAGTAACAGAGGTTAGAGGTTAAAAGAGGAAGTATATTTAGGCAGCAGAGAGTCTTACAGTAGGTAAGGTAGCTAATTTAATAGCTAAAAGGGAGGGTAGTGGGCAGCAGGGGGGTAGAGAGCCTGCAAAGAAGGTGCGCACATAGAGGCGTTGCAGATGTTGTAGAGAGACTAGCCACAACACTTGCACCTGTGTAGTTGAAATTATTAATGCATCTAATAGCGACGAGTCTAAATAGTATCTCTATTACCTGCAAATTGCAGTAAGTGGTGGTGGTGTTGCAGCATATGCATTGCAATCATCTTAACTCTGTTAGGTGGACCACTTGCTTGGGTTGGACCGCTCGCTTGTGAACTACGTTAACTTATATTATATTATCACGTTGTTGAGATATACGCTTGTGGAGGTGTGTAAAGTTGGTGGGGTGCGCGACTCGCTTGCCTGCGCGACTCGCTTGCCTGCGCGACTCGCTTGCCAGGCACGTTAAGCGTTTCTTCCAGCACAAGACTTCGGCAAGTTCTGGTTGCGGATGCGGCCCTCCTAGTCGTATACGTATACGTATTCATCATCATCATCCATGTCTTCGTCGTGTCGGAGATATCTCTCTTCGTCGCCTTCGTCTTCATCGCCATTCAAAGGGCGGTACCGGTATTGACGACAGTGCATGGCATGTACTGAGTTGCCAATCTCGAGGATACTGTTAACACCTTCATATGGCGCAGAGCACTGATAGCAGAACGCGTGCTCGCATTTGTTACCTAAATACCCTGTCAGGCTTTCTAGTAAAAATGGGCTCGTTGATGCTTACAGGACATATGATCGTAGCCCGAAGCCTTGTTGATGTTGTAGCCGCAACCCACCTTCAGGCAGGGCGTAGAGATCTGACGAATAGTCGCCAGACTCGCTGCTTCCTGCGTATCGATGCCACCTTTGCGTGCGTCGTATTGTGCGCACGTTTCGTCAGTGTGGAACGGAATATTATGTGTGGTGCAGATGGACCCATCACATTCAGGGTTCTGACAGCGCCAGATGTTGTTTTGACCACCTTGACCTTCGTAAATGTGCCCATAGTCGCAGCCTTCGACGTAACAACGGAAATAGCCCGGTGAATCTTGGAGTGCAGCCTGTCTCGCGAGACGATCGAAGCTGGTCAGTGTCGGTGTACGTTCAATGCCATTCAGAATATCAAATCTACCGCAGAAAAGTCTCAGATGATCGAAGGTTCACTTCTTCATGAGCGATGCGCTTTGTGCACTCCGAAGCTGGTCATGCGATCCTGTCCCAAACAATTTGATTGAGCTTCTCCGCCACCCAGTCCGTCAAACACTTCGTACAAGTGTTTGGCTCGTGCTCACAACCTGCCACTGATGGGAAGTCGTCAACAGGGACGCTTTCCGCGCAAAGTCCACACTCTCGAAACGATGGGATGGTGGAGATGGGTGATACTGATCGAGAGGGACCGATACGGGGTTGTTGTAGCGCCACAGACTCGTCCGAAGGGATCAAGAAAGGGAATACAAGGATAGTTTGGATTCCAGACAACCGAACAGCACGAAGAGTATCGACTTCTCCAGGGAATATTGCAGTAGGCCGGGCCATTGCAGATTAGGAGAAGACGATCTCTCGACCGCTGCTGGTTCGAAGACGAACCGTCATGCTTTGGGCTGTAGGTGCAACAGACGTTGTGGAGGCATTTAGATGCGTAATCCCTGTTACCTACTCTTGATTTTTAGCAGCTTTTGTCAATCCGGCTTTAGGGTACTCTTCTGTTGTCACAGTGGGCTGCCATCTATTAGCAGATCAGTCTTGACCTCGTCGGAGGTACCTACCTGCACTGGTACGCTATACGGATGCCGTGCCCGACCATGCTCATCCTCAGCGGTTGATCATCTCCCTGATCTACAGAATAAACGTCAAATGATACAGTACATCTTATTTGGAAAACCATACCTTGAGCTTCTCGGCCATGTGCTTCAACCTCCCCGTCGTGTACGGCTAATAATTCGTCACCTAGCGGATCCGCTGGTGAATGTCCAAATAGATGCTTGTCTAGGTCTCTCTAATGTTGTAGAGGTAGTAGGAGCTTGTTCCTATGTAATTGTGTGCTTGGCTCTTCACTAAGCAGCTTCTTGGGCTCAAACAAGTTAACAGCTACAGTAAATGATGTGTAGTACATTCTCAGCGTACGTTGCTGTCTCTGTGACGTCAGCACGTTTGATGCATTGATCTGGCTACTGATTTCTTCTCGCCTTAGTGCGTTGTGTAATTAACAATCAGGAGCATCTGCATTAGGTGCTAATACAATCTCAACAGCTACAACAGCCTTAACAACTACTAGTCCTAGCAGGATAGTAGCTGTGCTTAGGCTGGCGGATGGGTATTGTAACGACGCAGGCAAGAAGAGAGATATCCGGAATAGGTGTGAATCCGCTACGAGGCATACGGGAGTGCTAGGATAATAAGAACACTAGGATATGTTCTCTACACCTATAGGTCTTGTACAAAAGGATACAGAAAAACTACTCTACTTGAGATGATAGATGGTGGATAGTTTGACCCAGCTTCCGCGCGCCTACACTGCGCGAATCCTTTACCTCTGCCTGAAGTGTGGTGCAAGCCTTGAGCCAATTCTCTGCAGAATAAGCTGTAGAACTAGAGAAGACTAATCCTAAGTTGTCAGGGGTGGTGTAGCAGAACCTATCAAGTATAACGTTGGGATTTACAGGCTTGGTTGGTTGGTATTCATTTTACGTCTAGTTAATAAGGATAAAGTCTATTATCTTGCCTCCTGAAGGGCATATACAACGTGCTAAGCTATAGAATTACAGTGCTGCCACTACCTTAGAAAGTATTTCTTGCCTACGCAGGTATTACTACTATTTTAGAACTACAACTCCCTATCTAGTTAGGGAGACTAAGCTGTGTGTGTATATTAGGGAAGATCTCTTGTGTGTGTTTAGAGGTATTTAAGTGCTAGAGAAGTAGGAGAGAGGAAGAGTAGGAAGGAGAGTAAGGAAAGAGTACAGTTGTTTGCTGCTGTTATAGCACAGGGTAAGCTACTAGGGGCAGACCTTAGTGTAGTACTGTATAAGTTAGACAAAGGCTTTAAAAGCCTCTAGATCCCTAATTAGCGCGGCAGTATACGCTAGGCCATCATTCTAGCTGGATAGTGGTATAGGTAGTTAAAGTAACGTAGATTATCACTGAGCTAGCCATATCACTGAAGCAGCCATTTTCTCTTAGCACAACTAACACAAGTTACTACAACTACAACTACTTGCTATTAAATAGTAACCTAGTATACTTTGTGCTTATATTAGATTTAGAAGATGTTTCTGCACCCTCCTAGCACGTTTGTGTGTTGTGTCTAGTCTTGCTATAGTTCCTATAGCGCTAAACAGTTAACTAAGCTCCTAGTTAACTACCTCTACCCTAAGTCTTCTTAGATAGCTAAGCTGCTACAGACGCCTTAGCAGCTACCTGCAATGCTGCTAGGCTATACTTAAGTATGCTACTATACTAAATCTACTTTCTCTTATGCAATTTTCTCTTAGTTATTACTACTAATTACTCTTTAAGCTCTTGCACGTAGGCCTTAATAAGGATATTTTTATATAGTATCTCTTTAGCCCCTTTTATAAGCTTTAAGAACCCCTCTTATACTATACAAGAAATTATTAGAAGGAGTTGCTTATAAGCTTAGATTAAGACCTAAACTTATATATATTACTTAGCATCTTAGATTGCTATAGTATTTTAGGTAGAGGTACTGCTAGTAGGGTATATAGCTGCACTTTAAGGTAATCTAACACTACCTATATATTAGTAGGAATAAGCCCTAATACCTTAAAGGCCTCTTAGTAGTTAATCTTTATAAATATATTAAGGAACACATCCCTTAAAGCTAGTAGGAAGCCTTCCTTATTAATATAAGTAAGTAAGATTTCAATTTAGAGTGCTGCCTAGTTCCCTTTCAGGTCTATGAACACTATGTACTCGCTTTTGTGATTAGGGCTAACATACTCTATTAGAGCTAAAAACCCCTACCTTGTCTATGTCTGCTGCCTTCTGTCCTAGTCCTGTCTAGTACCTGTCTGTGCTGCCCTATAGTAGGGGAGCAGAAGGGTTTGTGTGGGTGTTAGCCTATAGCTGTAAATAGGGACTATCCCCTAGTGTTAGTCTGTTCTACCTCTAGCGCCACTTAAAACTGCTCTAGCAGTCCTGTGTCTAACAGCTACCTGCCTGCTGCTACAACCTTCTCCTAGTTTATTAGAATTTATAGGAGATCTATTGTGCCTACCCTTTCTATTAGCTTAAGCCTCGCCTCCCTCTAGTCTAGGCAGAACAAGAGGACATGGCTGAGAGTCTGCCTAGGGTGTCCGCACGTGCAGTCAGGGTTGGTGCCCAGTACCCTAATTCGCGCTAGCCACGCCTTGAGCCCAAGGACCTCTGTGCGTAGCAACACAATTGCTGTAGCTACGTGTTTAGGAACGCCGTTATATAGATGCAGTAGCTGGAAATCCCAGCTCTCCTTCCACGTAGGCGCCAACCTGTGAGGTTTTGCTGCCTAAAGCTCCTATCTCCTCCTCTATCTGTCTGTGAGGTCTATAGTAATCTCCTTAATTGTGCTCCTTAACTGTATCTGCCTTCTGTTAGGCTTGTTCCTTAGACCTATAGTAGCTGCCTTAGCCTGCCTACGCGCTATTTGTTTATTAATAAGTTTTCTCCCTATTTAGCAGGCGCCCTCTATGTTAGTTTGTAGCTAAGTAAGGATCCTTACTAGCCTGCCCTGTCTTGCTGCTCGTCTACCTGTAGTAGCTAAGGCCTATACTTTATTAAGTGTCTCTTTAATCCTCTTTGTAACTAGGTAATTTATTATTATAACTACCCTTTAGAGGGTTACTACCTATATATACAGGGATAGTAGCGGTGTTCTACTCTCTTTCTTAATTACAGCTACTAGTGTTCTCTTATAGGCCCCTAGCGTCTGCCTTAGACACTTGTTCTAGACCACTACTAGCTTACAAATCTTTGCCTTATCTATGCCTTTGCCTCCCTGCCCTATTAACTATATCTAGGATCTATATACTATAATTAGACATGCCACTGCTGTGTATACTAATTATAACTTGCGGACTAATAGGCCCTATAACAATGCTATAATCCTAGACATAGCGTGGAACGCTGTCTCTCCTTTTATTGCTACCTTCTAGATATGCGTTTTCTATAAGAGCTTTAGGTCTATCTATACTCTAAGTACCCTTATTATTATAATAATCTTAGCTAGCTAGTCTCCTACTATTACTATAGAGAGGAGGTTGTCTCCCTTGTTCTACTGCCTAGTAAAGTACATAAGCTAGTATTTCTTAGGGGCAAACCTTGCTCTAAATCTAGATGCCTACTATTTGTATTATAGGTAGGCGTTTATAAGTCTCCTGCAGTTATCTACTATAGATAGTCCCTATGTAATAATATTTATATTGTCTATAACGTGTTTCACAAGCGAGCGCCGCACCCAACCGAGCGCCGCACTCTCGCTGCCAGAACGCCGGCGCAACAACAGCGCGTAATGTCTCAACCACAACAAGCTCCTACACTCTATACTGAAGCTGATGTACAGCTTGCTATATCTAATATCTTAAGAAACTAAATTCAAAGTATCTAACGCGCTGAGAAAGTCTACAAAGTGCCTAAACAAACAATCTAACGCTGACGCAATAGAACACGCTCTTAACGCGACTGCGAGCTGAATGCGAAGCGCCTTACAAAGCTAGAAGAGGAGGCAGTTGTACTACATATACTTGAGGAATCTGCGCGTGGCCTACCCTCCTCAAAGGCAGACGTACAAGATATGGCAGATAAACTGCTAAGAGAGCGCGGCGCAAAGCCTGTTGGCAAGAACTGGGTTGACAACTTGGTAAAGCGTACACTAGAGCTCCAGAAGCGGTGGACCCGCCCATACGATCGCCAGCAGGCTGCCTGCGAGGACCCAGCAGTTATCTAGCCCTGGTTCACGCTTGTTCAGTCTATAAAGGCGAAGTATAGTATTATAGACAAGGATGTGTACAACTTTAATAAGTCTAGCTTCCTAATAGGCAAGATATTGTTGCAGCTAGTAGTAACAGGCTTAGAGAAGCCTAGGAAGCAGAAGAAGATCTAACCTAGCAATTGTAAGTAGGTTACCCTAGTACAAGGCGTTAGGTTAACAGGGAAGGTTATCCTACTATTCCTTATCCTTACAGGCAAGGTTCTTATCTCTAACTAGTTTACTAAGGACCTCCTACAGGACTAGGTTATTAATGTTAGTCCTACTAGCTAGACTAACAATAATCTAGCGCTTGCCTAGCTCTACTACTTCAATACGCATGCGAAGCTAGTTAGGGTCTACTAGCTACTTATTATTAATAGCTATAAGAGCCACTGCTTAGTGGCTTTCCAAGATCTCTGCAGAGAGAAGAAGATAATCACTCTCTGTATGCCCCCACACTCGTCGCACCTGTTGCAGCCACTTGACGTTGCCTGCTTCTCGCCACTAAAGCGCCTGTATAGCGACAAGGTTTCGGCCTTGGCACGCAGTCGCATCCACTATATTAACAAGG